TTTAATGGCCAGCTGTAAATCCAGGCAGTAACTGCCAGCTTCATCTCCATTAGATGTGTCTTAAGAACAGCAGAGGAAAGGCTCTGAATCACTTTGTTATAGGCTCTGTCAGCTCTGCAATTATGCATGTAAATCAAACAACCAATGTCTTCAGGTCAAAATTATTTGAACGTCAGGAAAGGTTTTATGGCCAGCAACTTCTCATTTGCTGGGTTGCTTACAGTTCCATGTCTTTCACAGATGGCATCTCCAGAACTTTGGGTTTCTGTCCCAGTGCCCCAAGTGTGTGGCTGTGTTTTTACTGACTRTGTTGGAAGTCTCTTTTGTTAATCACTGAAGCACAGCATCATTAGTGAGAAGTGCAGTGTACACAAAGAGGAACTTGCCAAATTACTAATAAGCAGAAACTCCATCCATCTTAATGAGACAGGGATAAGAAAATAGCAACCTAGAATATACACAATGGATCTTTCCAATCTGTTTATTTGTTCCTGTTAGAAAGTAGTTCTGAACTCCATCTCTTGCCCTGCTTGGAGATTATCACATGGTTTCCAAACCACAGGCATCTTATGCTCTTGCAAATCCTTTACCATGAGAAGGATAAATAAATAAATAAGTGGACAGACACGTCAAAAATGTTTAGAGGGAAGAGGGCAGATAGGATTGCYGCAGAGCAAGAAGCATGAAGCAGGTGTTTCCTCATAGTGGGCTGTCTCCTGCTCTCTTCCTCTGGGATCCTCACAAAAGCAGCCAAGGGTCCCCATGTCCTCWGGCATCACTCTTGGGCCGAGACTGCCACCATGCCAGCCCAGCAGTGTGATTTACAGCTACGCAGCGACCAGCAGCACTTCCCGAGGTTACTCTGGCAACCCAGAAGGGGTTTGCACCCACACCAATGTGCCTGCACATCTGTGGTCCCCAGCCACATTTTTCTTTTGTTGGGTAAGGAACAACTKGCAGTGCCTTTCACACACACAGCCCGGCTGCTGCTGTTTTATTGAACACCAGCGCTTGCTGTATTTTATCCAGGCAAACTTTATATATGGTACAGACRCTCTCAGCAGCCTGCACCTGGTCCAGGGCAAAGCTGAGCCTAGTGTAGAAGAATGTGCTGTAATGCAGCAAATTATTACAGGATAAATATTTATAAGCCCCTGTAAACATTTGCCATTGGTTGCCTCCTGGGACTAGGGGCAGACAGTCAGAGTTTCAGCAGTKCTGAAGTATTAGCTCTTGTAGTCCTTTATATGTTATCTCAGCTAGTAAACCCATTGTTGATCACGTATAGTTATAACATTTAATGGTGCTAATTTCACACAAACAGGAGACATTGGTTGCAATGGTTGCATGCCTTGATCTTGGCCCTGCTGCTGGCCAGCTCTTGCTGGAGGTGTGTCCTGCAGTCCCGGGGGCACTGGGCACCTGGCTGAGGCACCAAAGCTGCAAAACKTCCCTGTGCAGGTTCTCTTATAATGGGATAAGGGAGTGTTCCTGGCTGCACCAGTGTTATTGGAGTCTTGGAACAATCTGCTGGGAAAATTAGAAAACACATGGCAAAACCAACATCCTCCTCAGGGGTTAACCCTGGCAGGGGCTGTCACCTCTCCGTGGGCTGAGGGAGTCCTGTCTAAAGGAAATATTCCCCGGGGGTGTCCAGAAGCTGTCCTGCTGCAGGGGTGGCCTGGCAGGGTGTGTGCTCCATGTGGGCAGGTGGGCTGCCTCTGCTGGTGCATCCTCTCTGCCCCAGAGGGAGCATGGGCACCGAGGGACAGTGTGAACCCTGGCACAGCACTGCGGGGACTTGTAGCCAGCTCGTTTCATCTCCCCTGTCACTGCTGCCTCTGCTGGGGCTGAAATGGGGCTCATGCAGTGGTGGGAAACTGGAGCAGAAATGCCAGGGCAGGCAGGGCCATGACTCCTCCATGCCCTCAAGTGCAGAAGTGAAACAATGAGCCCTGGGCAATAGTGCTTGTTGCATGGGAGTATCTGGGGGCTCCACTTTGCTGCTCATGCACGAAAGCCAGTCATTTGGCAAAAATCAGCTCACTTAGCAGGCTTTGTTCATAAAGAGCCAGGGCCTGAATGGGCTCAGGGCTAATATATTCTATTATCCCATGCCTGCCTGTTTCCCCAGGGCAGCATGCAGGGAAAGGCGCATTCCAGCACGAGGTGGTCAGGGCAGAGTGTGCCCAGTGTGGGCAGAGAGCACAGGACAGGAAGGAGAAAACCGCTGCCAGCAGCATGGGGACATGTCACCTGCCACCCCTCCTTGTCACACTGAGCACCCACTGCAGGTGGACACCGAGCAGGGCATGAGGGCAGAGTGTCTGGTCCTGCAGGCTGCTGGGATGAACAATGGAGCCAGGAATAGGCACGGTTAATTGGACTGGGCTTTTCACAGGGCAAAAGAGGTCTTGGGACAGCCGGAATGGTGTGTGGTGCAAAGCCTCTCATTATTCAATAAGAAAATGTTAGCCCCTGTGGGAAAGGCGGCAATAAATGGCTATGACATTAGAGACTAGGCAGAGATTTAAGAAGCACTGGGCTACATAATTATGAAGAGAAATGGCTACACAGGCTTCACTCAGAAAAGTTCATACTTAGTTGGAAGAGGTTTGTTGGGAGAACAGCCCTTCTTGGGCAGCTGCTTTCTAAGAAGTCTTATACTGTGTATTAAGCAACTTAGTGACCTAGACCAGAGCTGTWAACATTTTCTTTTGTTTTGKKTTTTTTTTTTCCTCCTTCTCCGTGATTTCTTTTCTTTTTAAAGAAAAAAATGGTTTGCCAGCAATTGTATTTGCTGTTCAATTGTATTTCAGTTTACAATTTACTCTTGGATTCCCATTCAGGCGCTGCTGTCATGAATGTGAGTATCAGCCAGCGAAGAGAGAAGGGAGCCAGTAAAGACCTTCCCTGGGCCAAGTTCAGGAACTGTCCAGGCCATGCACGTGGTCAAATTTAGCAGCCCAGGCATGCTGAACTGTAGCTTTCCTGCTTGCATCAAGAGCCATGAACTGTGGCAGCTCAGCCGCTACTGTTCAGTGTGTCAGAGCTGCAGCCATGCCCACTGGACAGTGTGGGACACTCCAGGGCACAAATCCCTGGAGTGACCATAACAGCCCATTTACCTGGTGCCGTGTGTTTTTTGCTGACCTGAAGCTAACCGGAGCCCTGACTGCAGTTTTATTACAGTGTTACTGCTGKTGCCTTTGGAGAGCTCTCCAACTTTTGAACAAGCGTTTCCCAAGTCCCACCTTGCCTGCCTACCGATGATATTCCTATCACATGCCTCAGCCTGGAAGAGAAGCATCATAGCACTGCCAAAGTCAAACATACCCATTGCTGCTCTGCAAATAGAGAGGCTCTGGACTTTCCTGTGAGCTTGCCAWGGAAAATGGAGAGGCACTGACACAGTTTGGTTCTCAGCCAGAGACTTGTGTCCATGGATGTAACACCTGAGTGCAAGTAAAGATGCTTGAATAAAGCTTCGAGCAGATCAGTGCCCTATTCCACATCACACCTGTTTCATGGGACACAGCATTATTTTCTAATAATTTCAGTGTTCCTAAACTGGTTTTAGTAAAAGCAAAATGCCCGAATGTCTCAAGGAATGAGAAGTTCATTTTCTGTTTCTTGGTGCTAACAGTGATCTGTGCTTTGCCACCATTTCTTGAGCCCAGGTAGAAGGAGAGAGCCTGCTTCATSGAACTGCCTGTTTCATTCCGCAGGTCCCTTGTTTATTGCTAAATTCTTCACTTCATTAGCGGTGCTAACTGACTGCTCTCTTCTGCTGGTGCTCAGGTGAAAGTGGCTCTTTCAGGCTTCCAGGCTGCAGAGYCTCTTCCATTTAGCGCTCAATGAGGTGTGGTTCCTGTTTTGAATAGTACCAGCTGTTGGAGCCAGAGGCAGCAGCCGGGAGGGGAGCTTTGGGGAGATCCAGACTGGGACAGGGACCTGTGAGCACAGGGGCAGAGCTGCGCAATGGCCGATATTGGGCACGATAAGGCAGCTTCTCCCACCCGGCCGGCTCGCACCGAGGAGCACCCGCTGTGGCCCGCAGAGGCACGTCTCCATCCTCCACAGCTCCTCCTCCTCTCCATCCTCCACGCCGGCAGCTCCTGCCTTTGGAGAACAGCGAGTCTCTGCAGGCCCTGGGGAGCACAGCATGGCCATGGACCGGTGCTGCACTGCAACAACAGGGAATGCAGCTCCTGCTCCTCCACACATTTGGAGCCGGGTACCCAGATGCGATACCACCTTACAGAACAGACCCTCTTTCTCTCTCGTGGTTTTTTGTATGTGGTTCCCTCCAACCCCCGATGCCATAGTTTCTGTTAGAATTTGTCTGCTGGGAAATGAGTTCTGCCCSGTCCAGTCCAGGGTCACAGAAACATCTGCAGTCTTGGAACAGCCGCTCACAATCGCCGGGACCTCCCAGAGCCGCCACGGCTTCAGCGCCCGGGAACGGCTCCGGGGCCGGGACGGGACGGGCTGAGGGGCTGAGGAACCGGGACGGGACGGGCTGAGGGGCTGAGGAACCGGAACGGGACGGGCTGAGGGGCTGAGGGGCTGAGGGGACGGGCTGAGCTGAGCTGGGCTGGGTTGAGGGGCTGAGGAACCGGGACGGGACGGGCTGAGCTGGGCTGGGCTGGGCTGGGTTGAGGGGCTGAGGGGACAGGCTGAGCTGGGCTGGGCTGAGATGGGCTGAGCTGAGCTGGGCTGGGCTGGGCTGAGCTGGGCTGGATTGAGGGGCTGAGGAACCGGGACGGGCTGAGCTAGCCTGAGGGGCTCAGGGGCTGAGGCGCCGTCGGGGCCGGCCCGGGCAGGGCGGGGCCGGGACGGGGCGGGATTGGCTCCTGCGGCCGCTGATTGACAGCGGCGGGCCGGCGCGCGCTGGGCGGCTCCGCGGTGATTGGCTGTGGCGGGCTCACAAACCCGCGGCGCGGCCGGAGCGCGGCCAGAGCGGGGCCGGAGCGGGGCCGGGGAGGGAGGGCGGCGTTCCGAGGGGCTCTGCGGGCAGCGAGCGAGCGAGCGAGGGGCCCCGGGTGCGGCCGCCGGCAGCAGGCGCCCGGCGGGGAGGGGAGCGGCGTGTGGTGCTGTCGGGGCCACCGTCGGCGGTCGCGGCGATGGGCAGCGCAAGGGGGCCCGCTGGGGCCGTCCTGCGGGCGCTGGTGTCAGTGGTCGCCGCGCTGCTGGCCTGTGGCGTGGCCAGCGAGTACGACTATGTCAGCTACCAGTCCGACCTGGGCCCTTACCCTGGCGGGCGCTTCTACGCCAAACCCCACCAGTGTGTGGCCATCCCTGCCGACCTACGGCTTTGCCACAGCGTGGGCTACGACAAGATGGTGCTGCCCAACCTGCTGGACCACGAGACCATGGCCGAGGTGAAGCACCAGGCGAGCAGCTGGGTGCCGCTGCTGAACAAGAACTGCCATATGGGCACCCAGGTCTTCCTCTGCTCCCTCTTTGCCCCCGTCTGCCTGGACCGTCCAGTCTACCCGTGCCGCTGGCTCTGCGAGGCCGTGCGTGACTCCTGTGAGCCTGTCATGCAGTTCTTTGGCTTCTTCTGGCCAGAGATGCTCAAGTGTGACCAGTTTCCCCAGGATGATGTCTGCATTGCTATGACGGCTCCCAATGCCACCGAGGTCTCCAGGCCCAAAGGTAAGGTATGGCTGATGCTGCAGCCTTGTTCCTGGCACTCCTCTCTGAGCTGACAGGGCAGGTGTTAGTCCGGGAGGGGCCTCATGGGTCTGAAGGGGCTCTCGTGGCAGGAGGAGGCTCAACTGAACTCTTCTTGGCAGCAATCTTCCTCCAGCCTCTGAGCACTTTCTGTGCCCTCGTGTCCCAAGGAAGGTGGGATACCCTGCCAGCTCCTCATCCCTATCCCGGAGCCAAGCCTTGGGACAGGCTGTTTGGGACATGGCAGGTTTGTGCCTGTTCTGATTCCCACACAGGCACTGGGGCTGGGCTCCAGCCCTGATGGACCAGAGTGTGACCCTCCATCCTCAGATACTGCACTKCTCTGCTTCTGCTCCAGCCTGACTCCTGCGGGGCTGCTCTGGGCAGCAGGAGGATGTGTGGTCTCCACGGCAGAAAGTGGCAGGAGGAGGCTGACTGGAGTCAAGAGTGACAGTAGCCCTAGCAAGATCCCCCAAGTCCAGTGCAGTTCTAGGGCAAGAGGATGGGCAGCTGGTGGCTGGGCGTGCAGTGGAGATCCAGCCCTGCCCTCGGGTGGCTTGTGGGCTGGAGAGGAGCAAGAGATCTGCCCAAAAACGAACAGGGAAAGTAAACGTAGATCGTGTTTGTTTCTATTGCATGCGGCACGTTTTTGTGGTGCCAGACTGGCTTGTTCAAGTTGTAGTGAGTCTGGTTTGTTGCTGCAAACTTGAAAATAAATAAAGATCTTGGTGTCATTTTGGCGTTTGCTATTGGAGGACCGTGAAAGGCTGGCCGGGGGGGTGTTTGTAGAGGGAGATGGCAGAGGGCTCTGAGAGAGTGCAGTCCTTGGTGAGCAGAACCTCATTGAAAGGAATTGGCACTCCTGATTCCGCGGGAGGGTTGTACCGGGGCTTCGGGGATGAACTGGGCAGGGGGCTGCTTTCCGTGGCTTCTGTGCTGTTGGAGCTCCTSCGGAGGGTCGTGTGTCCTCTGCAGTTGTACAGACAAAGGCTGTGTGTTGTGCTCGACTGGGAGAGCTAAGGAGAGCTGAGCCAGCCAGCAGGGAGTGTCCAATGTCGTCCTGCCCGTCTGGAAAGGACTCGTACTTTGGGGATCCCTTCTGATACAGGGCAGGAAGGGAGTGTGSATCCTGCAGCAGAGGGCTGACACTCAGGTGTCTGCAGGAGCTGTGTGGAGGCATGGGGAGGGCAGTGGAGAGCACTGGGGTGGTGATTTGGGAATGGCAGGTGGAACGTGAAGCTCATACCTGTGCCAGGGGATCTCATTGCCAGGGACTGAGCCTGTCCCCACAGTGACAGCAGCACAGCCATACTGGCTTCCTTCTCATGTCTTGCCCTGACGTGATTGCTGGAGGAACCTTGTAGTTTCCCAGGAATGTTTTAAAATAATATGTCCTATGTGAACCTGGGCCCTCGGTCAAGACTGCTCCGATGTCCTGTATTGCAGGTACAAAGGTTGCTTTTATTTCCTCAGGGACTTGCAGCCAAGCATGCTCCTGGGGCAGCTGGGTCTGAGCTGCCCCTTCCAAGGTCTGAAATGGAGTCTGAACTGTTTGCAGGTCATTCATTTTACAGACATTAATGAGCCAAGACCTGGGAACAGTATTCTGAATGATCAGAACCTGCCAGRTTTTCCATTGTGTAGTTTACTGACTTTCTCATTGCCTTTCAGAGCTGACTTGGAGGCAGCACTGTGGTGGGACACTAGTGGTTTTTTTGGTGCCTCCAACAGTTTAGAGTGAAAAAAGCAAACCCCACGTTAATTGCAAACCCCACTGTTGTGATGTAAACCAGCACTGCCGGGTCTCCAGCACGCCAAAGAGGATCCTGCTGATGGCCCTTAAAGCACCTGTCCCTTTGGCTCTGGTACTGCCACCTCCTGCAGGTGCAGTCACCATGGGTGACCTGCGGCTCAGTCCTTGTCCCTGTGCTGCCTGGGTTCTGCTATGGGCACCCCATCGATGGTTTGTGTGTGYTTTCTGTCAGCACCAATTCCTGGAACCCCTTTGGTCTTTGGCACAGGGTGTTTCTGGTTKATTCAGAGGGTCAGAACCAAGCAGTGTCCCCCCTTTTCTCTTGGTACTAATAAAAAAAAACCCTTTCAGTATTTTTCCCCATTAACACCTCGAAATTGGAATTTGTTTCTGTGCCTCTCAAAGAGCTGACCTGCTGAATTCCTTTCTCCTTAAGCACAGGCGGTAAAGCCTGCAGGCCCACAGGATGCATCAGGGGAGTTCCAGATTAATACAGCATTACACATTCCTTCTCTTGCCCCTGGAGTAAGCCAGGCWYTGGAAAATGGTCAGCAGGGAAYGAGCGAGCTGGAGGCAGRCTGAGGCTGTGCTTMGAGCTGCTCTGTCAGCTGCAGCAGATGGGCCCCAGCCAACCTGCAGTGGGCCAGGACGTGGGCTGGAGATGTCTGCACCCCCTCTCCCTTGTCACCATCTCATTAAAGCCTAGAAAGAAAYATTCTGACTGCTGGTTTTATCAAATCTCCAAAGTCTGTTTCTGCCTGAGTCACTGAGTTAGATGGTGATAGTGGCAGTTGCATGTTCGGGTTCTGGAAGGTTACTCAGACCAGGGGCATCTCTCAGAAGGACAGAGAGTGGCACGGTGGATGTTGGTGCTGTGAGGGCAGACTTGTGACTTGCACACAGGAGCAAGTGGAAGGCCAGTTGCTCTGCATGTGTGATGAATAAAGCCATGGTACATGTCCCCAGGAAGTAGCATTTGGCACAGGACAGATTTGTGGGTGGCGACAGGGGAAGAACAAGCCACAGGAAACAAATGTCTGGCCTGAGCCCCCATGGGGCATCTGTGGCTGAGGAGACACGACACTATGGCCGTGGCTGTGTCTGCCTCTCCAGCCGTGCTGACTCTGCACGCCCTTTTTGGGACACCTCTCTGCTTTTGGCCCAGCAATGCTGTGGGTTTGCTGGCCTGGCTGCGGGCTGAAAGGCCGTGACTGCTCTGTCTRCATGCAGGGACTGGCAGATGTTTTGCTACAGTGTTGTCCCTGAGAATAACTCCCTTGTGTGGGAAGAGCCCTCCATCCTGCTGGACCAGGAACAAGCAGCATCTCCCAGCTCAATAAATTCATCTGCCAGTAGCTCAAGTCTACGTCTGTGCTGCTGGGTGGTCTCTGCTCCAGCTGCAGATGGGAACTGGGAACAAACTCTTATTCTCTGGGTGAAGTGAGCTTTSCTCCCAGGGCAGATCCCAGTGAAATCCCCTGGGCTGGTATTCCTCAAGAGGTGTATGTTGGCCACTGCCAGTGGTTGGTGAGCCATGAGGCTGCCATGGGCTCAAACCAAAAGAGAGTATGATCACTGTCGGTGGTGGGTCTGTCCCTGAGCAGGGCTGCTCTGGGACAGGGCAGGAGGGAGGATGGTCAGGGGCTTGCTGAGCACTGCCTGGGCAGCCTGTGGGGTGCTCTGTGGCACTGAGGGGAACATTGCACTGCACTGAGCTGTCCCAGTCCTGCGTTCCCTTGCCTGGCACCAAGGTGGCCCCTTGGCACTTGAACCTTCTCTGGGCAGTGTCCTCCTGCTGTGCTGGGGTTTGGGAACTGTGTGTCTGCCCTTGGCACTCCAAGGGAGGGAATGTCAGCAGCTATGGGCCATCCCCATGGCAAGCAGCTCCTCTCAACTCAGAGCCTGGCCCTGAAAATTCCTGTCTTTGCCAGTGCTGTCCTTGTGCTCTTAGCAGCTGCCTGCCTGTGCCTGGCCCTGACAGTGTTGCAGTAGGGTGGGCAGAAGGCTGYCCATGGTCACTGCTGCCCTGTAAGCTCGTGGATGGCTCCTGACCCCAGGAGGGTGATGTCCCACAGAACTGAGAGCCCTGGCAGGGTGCATGGGCGTGTGTCCCCCTCGAGGGTGGCAGTTTGACAGCATGGGCAGTCTGGCTCTGCAGTGCTACTTGTGCTGGCTTCTCACCACCTCCCAATTGTCTTCATGTCTTTTCTTTTGCCAGGAACGACTGTGTGTCCCCCTTGTGACAACGAGATGAAGTCAGAGGCCATTGTGGAGCACCTGTGTGCCAGCGAGTTTGGTAAGTGAGAGCACTCCAGACATGAGGAGGCTTCCCCATGGGCAAGGGGCAGCACAGCTCCTGTGGGCTGCACTGGGACCGCCAGGTTTCCCTGTCTGCAGCAGTGCCAGTGTAGCCTGGATCCATCCCAATCCCAGGCTGTGTGCCTCTAGATGTCAGTGTGGCTATGTGGAGGTGCTGTTGGGAGGGGACTGCACTGGATGTGTCTGGGATGTGTCTGGGATGTGTCTGGGGTGTGTCCAGCTCCCGAGGGCACCCAGGGACAGGGGGCTCTGCTGGCAGTGCCCACAGCCCGCATGGCACCGGTGCAGGGCAAATCTCCTGCCCCTCCTGGCAAAATGGGCTGTGTTACAAGGCCCTGAGCWTGGGGACACTGCCAAAGCAGTGACATTGCTGTCAGCCACAGCTGCAGGCAGAGACCCAGAGCTGGGCACCTTGGCAGGGGATGGGGGCAAAAGTTGCGTTGTTCTTTAGTGATCCTGGGGTGGAGAGACGTCACCCCTGATGTTCCCAAGCTCGTGTGCTTGTAGGAATGGTGCATAGCATGGACCATTATTCTGCTTGCAAGTATGAAGGGGCAAACCAGTCTCCYTCCTCCCCATACTGTTTGTGCTGCTGTGTTTCTTTTGAGCAAAGTTGTGCTGCTCRTGTCAAATCTAGGTGTAAAAACCCAAAGCCAGTCCTTATCTAGCTGCAGCCAAGCAGTGAGTTTAAGAAAATGCAAAGCTACTTGAAAGCTTTGTCCTAAATATGAGTGACTCAGACAATCAGAGGTAAACTGAACTTCTTTAAAAAAAAGAAAAAAAAGGTTATCACAAGGAGAAATATCATCTTTCTCAGATCAAACCCAGAATTAACTGATTTTGACATCCTTGCTGGTGTATGTAACTTTCCTGGAAGATTATTAAAGGCATATTGAACAAGGTGTGCATTCCTGGGGGATTAGCACTTGAATGTGCCCTGTATTGGAGTGTGCTTATGCAAACCCRAACCTGCTCTGCATGCTGGTGTGTTACCCTTGCTGCTGGAAATGAATTCACAACTCTCCTGCAGATTTGGTATGCCAGAAGTCCTAAGTTCAGGGCAGACTATTTCTACCAGGGAAAAGCATCAACGGGAGCACCCATGTAATAGTTTCCCAGGAATGTGCATACTTCCAGCTTGGTTGGGAATGGAAGCAAGCATTCAGTCTGTGGTCTGGCTGGGGAATGGGAGGTACTGAGTGCCTGGAGYTGGGGTGCTCAGAGCTCTGTCCTGGGCAGGCATTTGATGGGAGCTGAAGCAGAGCTGCCCCTGCCCCACTGCACACACGGGGAGGGACTGCAGGGAGTTTCCAGCWGGTGGGGAGGGACAAATGGCTTCTGGGATCTTGGTTTGGACAGGAGCTGCCTGTCTGGGCTTGTGGTGATGCAGAGATATCATCCCAGTCCAGGGGCTCTGGCCTGGGGACCCCCATCCCAGAGAGGAGCAAGGGGCACTGGCTGGTGGCAGCAGTGGRTCTGGTGCTGCTGGGTCACTGCAATAGCAGTCCCCTTGCCAGAGGTGTGASAAGTGAGCTGAGGTGGTATCCTGCTGTAAGCAAGTGCTGGGAAGGGAAATACAAACTTATCCACGTGCTTGTCATCAACTTCTGCCACTAAATACCCTCCCGTGCTGTGGGACAGTTACACCGTGGATCATTGTTTAGTCTTGGGGGGTTACTATCATGGGGTGATTTCTCAAGGAAAGCTGTTTTTCTGGCACTAAAATAAACTCCCAGACCTTCAGACTGAAGTTTCTCATGCATGTCCACCAAGGTAAACACTTGGCAGCTGACAGGTTACAGATCCTCATCAAAGCCAGACATGTACAGTAAATGTTTAAACTAACATGTGCTGCATGGGGCAGCTGTTAGTAGCCCTGCACTGATTCCCACTGTGTCGTTACTTCAGGTTTCTCTTAAATCCCAGCAGCTCGTTGCAGACAAGAGGTGAGGAGCACTGCCAGGAGYCTGCCAGCCTCATGGTCCAGCAGAGCTCTGGGTTTGCCTTTGTTTGAACAAGGCTGAATGCAGGCTCCAGGGTGCTGGTTGGAGGCCTCTCCTCTGAGAGTAGGACAACTCTGGGGTGGATGTCAGTGTGGGGTGCCAGAGCCCTGGCAGGGCACAGAGCAGCACAGGGGGTGCTTAGGGGTAAGTGCAGTGTAGATTTGAGTGTAGTGCTGSTGTCCTGGGGCAGCAGTGGATGCAAGAGGAAGCACGAGATCGGCCTCCAGCACCCCCACAGCTGCCTCCCCCAGCTGCCCTGGGCTGCAGCCAGAGCTTGTTTCTTAGTGCTGGAGTTCATTCCACGCTCTGTTTCTCTTAGTGATTTTATTTATTGTTTCTGCCCTTTCTCTGGGGTCTGAGGGGATCCTGCTGAATGGGCTCTGTGGCACTGGGGACTGCAGAACAATCAATACATGCTGTTTATTTTTTGTCCGTGACTGACAGCTCCTTGCCTGCAGCCTTCTCCTATTACAGCCCTAATGTGTCTTCTGGCAGGTTTCCTYCTTCCCAGCAATTTCTAAAGTAAGGAAAAATGAAGCTGAAGGAACAGTGGAGCTTTCCCTTCTCACACATTCCCTTTCCTGCACATGAGGTGCTGAAGTGGGGGCCCTACCCATGCAGGCAGGAGAACAGCAGAGACAATGTCCTGGTCCCAAACTCTCCTGTGCTGMAAAAGAGCGGTGGAGGTGCCCGTGGGGAGCAGGCATGGTGCATGGTAGAGGGTTGTGAACATAACACAGGGGCTTCTGCTCTCACCTGGTCACCACCCCAGTACCAGTGCGTCCTCGGTTGTACTGGAAGGTGTTTGAAAGGAAATGGTGAGAAGGGCTCRTGGTATGTTGATCCTGCAGCCCTCTGGGCCGCTGTGGCATGCAGGGGCTGGTGCTGCCAAAGCAGCCTGTGGCCACAGTGCTGGCCTGGAAAGGTGCCACATGCTCCTGCTGTGGATAACCCCCCTGGGTCAGCTCCTGCCTGACWGCCACAGCTGAAGGTTGAGTCTGTCTGAGCCAGCGTGTCCTGGGSTCTCAGAGGTGATTCTGGCCCTTCTCCCAGTCGGTGCTCAGACAGATTTGGTATAGAGCAGGGGACTGGAAAGGCCAAGGTTCCCAGTGAGGAAGCTGTTTGCTTTGGCAGCTCAGCTGTGTCCTCGAGCCAAGACTTGACCTATCCCTCTCGAGCCTTTTGCCTGCTGCAGGGCTGTTCCCAGGGCTGGGGAGATGCCAGGGGAGCTGCTGCAGTGCCATGGTTCCACCTGCCAAATGCCATRTTCTAGGAAAGCTGGAGGCTGCCTCCCACTGTGGGGTGGTGAGCTCTCAGAGCAGGATGTGTCAGAGTGAATGTGCCCTCAGGCAGCACTCCTGGTGTGTGTGGGACATGCCAGAGCTGTGTGTCTGGCTTGCCACTGGGGAACTCAGCTCTCATACCTGGAAACCTCACCTGGAATGTGGGTTGGTGTTTAGGGRATGTGGCCCAAGTAGAGGGAACAAGTCAGCGTGGATAAGGGAAGTGATGCTCACGTTGAAAGGTGTTGCTGCTGCTGCTGCCCACTTGATGTCATGGAGCTTAGAGCTGCTTGAAAACTACTTACTTCATTTTCCAGATTTGTTGCAACCTGATCTGGTTCAGCATCTTTAGCTCCTTAAAACTGGAGTCTCTTTAGCTCCTGAATTTGGAAAACAGATGGAATGAAAATTTCACTTAGGTTTCCAGTCCTAGATTACTTTATTGTACATGAACAGTGTAACACGACAGGGCCCTTGGCAAACCCAGGGGATATTTTTGGCACAGGGGCAGATGAGCACCATTGTTCCTCTTTTCAATGTAGAGGCTGGGAGCAGGAGGGTGATTCTGAGTCCTGCTGCCTTGGTTGGGATTGTCGTGGTGCTGTCCTGCTGCCTTGGGTTGGGATTGTCATGGTGCTCCTGTCCAGGAAGCAACATGTGTTTGCAGCTACGAGTTCCAGCAGAGCAGGACTTCAGGGAATGATGCTGTGGGGACCTGTCTCCCTGCCAGARSCAGAGGTTCTTGTGGACTGCCTGCAACTGCCCTGGGACTCAAATGAGAAGGGGCAGCAGCCAACAAATCACCTCTCTAAGCACTAGTTATCTGCAGCTCTGAAGTAAACTCCCAAATGATGAAAATATGTTAGCAATTTTTGGCCATATGTGCTTTTCCCTAAAAACARGGCAGAGCCAAATGGCACAGAAATGATGTTTTAATGTACAACACGTTTTCATAATTTTTCCCATGTATGCAAAATTCCTCTTCATGGTCATGGCAAAAAACTTTTTTTTGGGGGGGGGGGTTAGGTTTGCAAAAATGCTGAACCCAAAGAGGAGTGTATTTTCTATGGAAGTTGTATCACAAAAACTCCCCTTCTCCCTGGGAAGGTGCAGGCGTGTGATTGCATGCTGGGCTCTCCACAGCTCTGATGCAGACAYCCAGCACTTGGAAACTTTCTGCACAGCACCGCAGGGCTGGTGTGACTGCAAACCAAATTGGCCTTTTAAATGATCCTTTCAAGAGTCTCTACCTGCCTGGAGAGCGGGGATATCACCCAATTTACTCAGCTAACATTTGTGCTTGGCAGCTGAACAAGTCCATTCTCMAATGGGAAGTGCCAGGTGCTTTGCTGGAGGAAGGAGAACAAAGATGTCAGTGTTTCACCGTGGTGCTTTCCTGGGCATGGGGCAGCTCCAGCTCAGCTGCAAGGGTGTTTGTGTCACTCRTGGCCAGGGTGATGCCATGGAGCAGAGGGTACGGGAGCAGAGGAGGGAGAAGGGCAGTGCAGGAGTGGAGCAGGGCACCCACTGGGTGTCTGCAGTGGGCCAGGGCATTGCTGCTGTCCCGGGGCCCAGGCTCAGCTGCCCCTCAGCCTCACAGAGCCTTTGTGCCAGTCAATCCTGCTCAGGAGTTGCTTTGTTTTTCCCCTCTCCCGGCTTGTTTTGCAGCTCTCAAGATGACCATAAAGGAAGTGAAGAAGGAGAACGGGGACAAGATGATCATTCCACGGAAGAGGAAAGCACTGAAGCTCGGGCCCATCCGGAAGAAGAACCTGAAGAAGCTGGTGCTGTTCCTAAAAAATGGGGCGGACTGTCCCTGCCATCAGCTGGACAACCTCAGCCACTACTTCCTCATCATGGGCCGCCAGGTGAAGACCCAGTACCTGTTGACAGCCATCTACAAGTGGGACAAGAAGAACAAAGAGTTCAAGAAGTTYATGAAGAAGATGAAATCACCCGAGTGCCCGACTTTCCCATCCGTTTTCAAGTGATTGCTGGGTGGGGGGAGAGCCGGGGGCTGGAGCTGCCGTGGGGCAGTGGCTCAGTCTCGCTGCTCTGCAGTGGGGATGCTGGAGCCAAACCCTTCTGCTCCTCTGTGCTGCTCCTGGGAGCTCTCTCACTGACCTCAGCCCTCCTGCACATCCACTGCTGGCGTCTGCCTGACCTCCTGGGCGTGTGATGAACGTGCACCAAACGGGTCACACACATTTGTGTCTGCAGTGTCTAAAGAACTGTTACTGTACACTGATGTACAACCATTCAAATAGCAGCTGTCAGGTAAAGAGGGCAAGCAGAGGGGTGTGAGGTGATTGTAAAAGTTCACATGCTTACAGAAACAGCCCTTGTGACCATGTCACTCCTTCCTGTCTTCATGGCTGCAGGATTGCCCTGGATTCTTGTGTGAGCCAGAGCTGGCTAATTAGACAAACGTCCCATCCTCACCGTCAAAGTTAATAAACGAGTAGTGGAGCACCCGTTAAAACCTCTGATAAGAATTCCTAATAGCTAATTGCCCTCACTGTAAAAAAATGCCATTATAGTCTAAACCTACTTAGTTTAAGCCTTAACTCTGGTTCCTCGTGRTGCCTTGATGGGCTGGAGCCCTCCCTCACCAGCATCTCTTGTAAAATATCTCACTGGGTGCTTGCCTTGGCCTCTGCTGCGCCAGCTGAGCCCTTTGTGCCCAGTGCTGTGCATGCCCAGGTAGCCCTGGAGCCTCTGTGCATGCCCAGGTGGCCCTGGAGCCTCTGTGCATGCCCAGGTAGCCCTGGAGCCTCTGTGCATGCCCAGGTAGCCCTGGAGCCTCTGTGCATGCCCAGGTAGCCCTGGAGCCTCTGTGCATGCCCAGGTAGCCCTTGAGCCTCTGTGCTGTGCCCAGGTAGCCCTGGAGCCTCTGTGCATGCCCAGGTAGCCCTTGTGCCCAGTGCTGTGCATGCCCAGTGTGTTGGTGCATTCGCCATGGGGCTGGGGGCAGAGGGGTCTCTGCTTACAACTGTGCCTTTGGCCTTGTGAGGCCCTGTCCCAGCAGAGTCCCCTGTCCCCTGTCCCCTGTCCCAGCAGTGTCTCCTGTCCCCAGCAGTGTCTCCTGTCCCAGCAGTGTCCCCTGTCCCCAGCAGTGTCCCCTGTCCCAGCAGTGTCCCCTGTCCCAGCAGTGTCTCCTGTCCCAGCAGTGTCCCCTGTCCCAGCAGTGTCTCCTGTCCCAGCAGTGTCTCCTGTCCCAGCAGTGTCCCCTGTCCCAGCAGTGTCCCCTGTCCCCTGTCCCCTGTCCCCAGCAGTGTCCCCTGTCCCAGCAGTGTCCCCTGTCCCAGCAGTGTCTCCTGTCCCCAGCAGTGTCTCCTGTCCCAGCAGTGTCCCCTGTCCCCTGTCCCCTGTCCCTGCAGCTGCCCTGCCCTCAGCCTGGGTGAGGTCCCATGCACGGGTGGCCTGAGCTGGTGCTGCCCATTCCTGTTGTTCCATTTTAAGCCTGTGCAAAGGTTCATTTGCTGGCCTGCCTGGGGCTTTGGCTGGGCAGACCTCATGGCCAGCTCCTCCAGCTTGTATCACTCCCTCACTTTACCAGGGATGCTTTTACAGTTCCTTTAAGCTGCTGGCAAAGTACCAGGGTGCACAAGGCCCAGGACTTGTCCCTACAGAGCTGCAGGGAATGTTTTGTCTCTGTCTTTCCCTCTTGGCCGTTGCTGTGGGACCCATCAGTCTGGGGTTTTGTCTGTTTGATCTATGACAACTTAYCTGTCTGTCATTCTATGTCTTCTTTGCCCTAATCAAAATGTCATGTTTGTATGATTTCAAATAGTTTATGAAAGACGAAGAATGTCTCACCCAAATGATTACATTTATTGACTAAGCTGAAATTCATTATTGTGTTAATTGGACTAGTTCTCTTCTTCAGAGACCCAATCACTCCACATTCATTATCCTTCCTCCTTCCAGYTAGTATTCTCATCCATCACCAATACTCTGAGAATGAATGTCTGAGGTCTGAGATAATCCTGTTGTGTCACAGTTAAGTGAAATAACAAATCCTCATTTTTGAGGTTTGAACCAAGCCCACTCAAAGCTGGTAAATTAATTATTCATTACCTTGGGAGTGGTGCTTATTCCCCAGGTGGGGACAGAGCCATGGACTTGGTTGTAGAAGAATTCCACGAAGAAGCCAAGTACTCCAAGRAATGATGTTTCACAGTTAACAGAGAGATGGATTTAGGATGTGAACTTTGTAGAGTCCCYCTAGGTTGTCTTAGACCACCATTTGTAGTAGTGTTGTTCCTTTATTGCAAAATTAATCATTGTAGATAATGTGCTTTATCAGTGAAGTAAAAAAATAAATAAACCATGGGCTTTAAAGATCACAGGTTGATGAGGTGAAATGATGGAGAGGGCTGACAGATGCAGTGTGGGGTGAGGGGTGACACAGCCGAGCTGTGCCAGGCTGGAGCTGCCCCATTGCCCCCTCCAGGGCTGGGAAATCAGSCAAGCATCTCCAACTGGAGCTGGGCCCTGCTTTCATCAGCTGTTCACAGGTAACCCAGGTGTGCAGGGAGAACAGCACGAGGAACAAAAAACCAGAAAGAGTTCAAATGGAAATCACTAACTCCTTCCCTTTGCGGCAGRTGGAGCTGCACTGAGCGTGATCTCTGCTCTGTGTGGTGCCTGGGCAGGCAGGGATGGACCCKGAGCTGTCTGTGGCTGTGCATGGTTTCAGCAGGGAGGGGTTGCTGGGTGAACATGCACAGGCTCAGCTGAAACTTTCTCCAAAGCCACAGTGAAACTCTGCTTCCCCCACCCCAACAGCAGAAACGGTGCAGAGAAAGTGCTCCACTGTGTTTCAGAGGCTGCCCACTGCAACATGCTGGATGACCCTGAAAAAGGACAGACATGCACACGGAATTAAAGCCACCCTCCACCCCAAGGCCAGAGCTATGTTTGTTCCCTGGCTCAGAAGTTCTTTTTTTCCATCCCAGCCAAGCTCAGCATGCCACAGTGGCACTGCCAAGGAAAGAGAGCTCCCTCAGATCTAGTGAGGAAAAATGTCTCAGTGCCTTTAGCAAGTGCTTTTACAATCCCTGTTTTGCAAAGAAACAGACTTTTTTTTTAAATTTTTTATTGCTATTTCTTCCCCAGTAATCCCATCGGAGCCTGTGAGTGTGCTGCTGTTGGATAAGCTGCTCCCTTGAGGCASTCTGTAGCTGTCCAAGCATTATTGAATTCTTGTTGGAAGGGGGAGTGGGGCAGGGCAGCAGCTCCTGTGCTCTGGGAGCTTCTCCGTGCACTCAGAGCCACGGGCAGGGTCCAGAACTCTGCAGCTCTGGCTCCCCAAAGCAGAGCCCATCCTGGACAGGAGTGTGCCTCATCCTGGCAGGGTGGCCCGTGTGCCTCAGGAGCCTCACAGCCTCTGGAAATGGTGCCTTTGTTTCAGGGACTCCCCATCAGAGGCTGGAATCTCCTGTGGGGCACAGCCTGCCACAAGAATGTGCCTGCAGAGCAGGAGCTGGGTCTGCTGCCCCCCTGCCCTGGCACAGCCTGGCAGTGCCCAGCAGCACAGGGAGCCCTGGCTCAGTCTGCTCTGGCACATCACAGAGTGAATCTCTCCATCACCAGGGCACGGGCACACTGAGCACAGGGCTCCTCACAGCTGCCAAAATCCCGAGAGCCACGAGCAGCTGGCAAACAGTCTCTCCTTTCTGCACAAGTGTGCTTGGATGGGGAATTCACTGCAGTCTGAACCATTTTTCCTTTGGAGACAACAGGAGATGTTTGCCAAGCCAYTCTGTGGGGAGCAGGGAAGGCAGCACACGGCTGGAAGGTGCCTGGTACAGTCAGCACAGCAATTTTTGTGCTCCAGCTCTCTGCTCTGGTTCATGCAGGAGCAGCTCATGGGGCTGCCCCCAAAACTCTGCTGCTTTTTCTGTGGCTCAGGCTGGGGCTGTTGTGCTTTTGGTGACCTGTGCTGTTGGCACTTTGCTGCCTCAATCTGACCCTCCAAACTCTTGAGCTGCTAACGTGTCAGAGAGGCTAATTTTTGGGAGGTGAGGTATTGTATATGGATAAATTATGGCCCCAGAAGGATGGTAGAGTGTATCTCTGGTRTTACKTGGAAAGAAATGAGGAGATGAGGCMTTTGCCTTGGGCAGGAGGATGAGCACGTGTGCAGCCTCTCTTGTACGATGTTCAGAAGTGCATTAAACTCCAAAAATAATGAACTGCAGCCCCTTGAGGCAAATGACACTTTTAAATTGGTCATCCTCAAGCGAGGGTGATTCCACCTAGCCCAGACAGCCTCCCCAGTCGCTGCACAGCAAGGGCAAGTACCCGTTTGGAGAAGGCTGAGCTGTTTGTGGGAGCTCTGAGGTAATTTGACATTTGTGAGGCCGTGTGCCTTCTCACAGGGCTTGTGGAACGGTGATGGCCAGGCCAAACCGCTCACTGGCATGTTCACGTTTGTATCTTAAACAATCTTTAATAAAATGTTGATATCAGTGTAAGTTTTTATCTGAGTCATGCTCCTGGATTAGCACTTGCCAAGAGTTGAGGTTTCACTAAGGGTGACACTCCACAAGTGATTCAACACTGTCCTGCACAGCTGAACCCGTGCAGCCCCAACTCCAGAGTGTTTGCAATTTCTTCACCATTTCATAGTTTTTCACTTGTCCCAAATGTTTATTTAATAATCCTGGAAGACCTTTTAAGCTTTGTGGGTTTAATGTTTGCTAAATATCCTGTCACTTCCACTTGTCCTGATAATTCCCATCCTGTGCTAACCCAGCCCCAAAAGCCCAGGAGGGTCCCTGGGAGCTGAGTGGGGTTTTGCCAGTGGGATCATTTTGCCTTTGCATTACCTCAGCCCCTGCACTCTGATGGACCCTGGCAGTATTAGTTTCACAAATTCATTTTCCTGCACAAAAGCTTTTGGTTACTTTGGGATTAGGGACTGTTTAAAGTTCATTGTTCTCCCGAGCTGCCTTGTTTTGCTGTAATGCTGAGATGCCTGGGCTGTAGGAACCYAATCCCCCTCCTCCTCCAGCAGCCCCGCTCGCTGAAAATCTGTTCTCTGCTTTAGTGCAAATTGTTGATGGGAGATAGCAGCGGGTCTTTCTGCTCCCATTTAATGTGTCAGCAGAGAAAGACATCTGCTTGCAATTATGGGCATGGCCTTGCTGAAGGATTGGCCTGGTAGATTTTATAAGGTAATAGGAAATCTTTATCAATTCGTAATTCCTGGTGTCAAAGAAAGGAATAAGTTTCATTTAAAATTCTCATCTTTTATTTGACAAAATTGTAGGATAAAACATGAGATTGATATCGAGGGAAGAATCCACGTGCTCTCTGCAAAGAGTGAGTCCTGGATTTCCCATTCAAAGCTCTGAGCACGTGAGGGTCAGTCTGGGCAGAGAGTTGGCTCCTCTGCTGATCGTTCACTGCCCTCTGGGGCATTTCCAGAGAGGCAAATCCTCTTGGAAACGATTTGCTGCTGCCTTTGCAGCGTGATCTGGAACAGGAGCATTGTCCCCAGGGCCGATGGATGGGCTGGCTCTGGGCTCTGCAGCTCCTCAGTGCAGAACAGAGACAGCTCTGCCCATGCCCGCAGTGCTCCCCTGGCTGCAGCTCCCAAATCCCTGGGCTGGGCTCAGAATGGACCTGCAGCTCAGAGCTTGGCTTGCAGGAGGGCTCTGGTGTGTCTGAGGTGTTCCCAGACTGAGCTGTCCCCATTGTCCCCACTGTCCCCATCCTCCAGCAGCACCAGGGCTGGGGGAGATGCTCTGGGGATGGTCCTGAGTCCCCGTTCCCCTCTGTGCTCAATGGTGGGAACTCACCTGTCTGGGTCACACAGTGGGAAATGTCCCAAGAGCTCTGGGGTTTGCACCTTGTTGCAGTTCTGGTGTGCTGCTGTCACAGAGAATGTTCCAGAGCT